ATGCTGGATAAAAATAGGAGAATAAGGGAATGGGGAAATCTCTTGAAAATAAAAGGAGATCAGAGGAGCACAGGGGGGAAAACCGTGACTTCCACCTTTTGTATACCTATAAAGCATGCATTAAAAAATAACTACAGACAGAAGGAAGCCTGGTAGACAGAGAAAGGGCAGGGATGGGGGAGGGTCACGGAAGGTATTGGGGCTGCAGTGGGACAAATTCTATTTACTGCTGCATGATTGCCTCACACGACTACCAATATCATGTATAAATCACTCAAAAAAACCCATAAAATTCCTAAATTTGTTAGTCAGAACTCCAAAAGAATTCAAAAGATATGTTGGCATAAGAAATGGCTTAAACAAACCCCAAAAGCAAAAGCCTGGGAGGAAAATATTGGTAAGTGTGACCAAGTAAGATTTGGACTTGTTTTTTAACAACAAATACATGATGTTGAAAGATAGTCTCAGACAATATTTCAACAACGTGTAATCATCAGTTTGCAGGATTCATAGATAAGATAAAATAATTTAAAAACAAATGAATTGATAATAAAGCACATACATGTGCAATTTAGAGAAAATACCCAGAAGGCAAAGAAACATTAAAATTTGATCAAATTCAGGAATAAAACAGAAGAGCCACAGTAAAGTGCAAATTAGGCAGTCCACTATAGTTATTAGAAAAAGTTTTCAAGTTCTAGCAATACTAAGTGCCACCAACATCGTGGGCAAAGGACAGTGACTGGCATGGGTCCTTGTGGATTCCAGAGAGCAAGGGCACTCTGAGATCATGGGGTCTGTGCTCCTATACTGAGTGTGGGGCGGCCAGGCATGGGGCAGCCAGGTCTGGGGCTGTAAGACAGACCATGATGACTCCTAGGTTGAACCCAGAACTTACAAGGGTTACGGAGAGGGCAGGAATAGCAACCTCCAGATGTGCACCATGAGGCTTCACTGCAGGTAGTAATTGTACTCCTGGAGCAATCGGCACCAACAATGAATCTGGCAGTATAGAAAACTCCCATTTCCCATTCTTGACACCGCTGATTCTTGTGAACTGGAGTTTGACAGATTCATGAAATGTTGGTGCTCCCAGACATGCCACCCATCTGGTGCTGTTTAATGTGGGGAGGGGGGCTCTGTGCTCTGAGTCAACTGCCCCATAATTTTTATTAAAAAAAATGCTTCCTAACAAAGATAGTTTAATTCTTATCCCACCAATAGTGTTTTGTAACATGAAGTTCTAATTTTCTTTTCACTGTTGAACAATCAACTCTATTTCAGTAGTAGGAGGTCTCAACACCATGAAACTGAAAGATTTAATAAAAATACAATGAGGACATTATAGTTGGTGCTTTGGGACAATATCTGGGCATGAAATATTACTAATTTGTCTGTTAATTCAAACTTCCTGTCTGATTTATTTTAGGGGTTAGAGCCCAGGGCCTCACCCATGTCAAGCCCAGTCCCCGACCTTTGATTTTGAGATGTGCTTAGGTTTCCTTTACACTTTAATTTGTATTATTCATTCTAAAAACAAACAAAAACAAAACAAAACAAAAACACTACTCTCTGTTTTTCAGATTTTATGAATGATTAACATATAAAGCCAGAGAAATACCCTTTTCCTTCTTTGGTAACTTTGCCATTTAGATTTCTCTCTCAAGTGACGGGAAAGGTTCTGAAGCCTGGATCTGGGAAGATTTAGTAGAAGGCCATGTCTTGGTGAACTGACCCCAAGTACCCGAGGGACAGACGGAGCCTCCTCCCACAGGGTTCCCCACACCTAATTGCTCAACAGCAAAGCATTTCCGTGTGAGGCTCTGAATTCTCACGAGGCGGAGAAAACACAAGATAGCAGGAGGCAGGTTGGCTGTAAGGGGACACGGCAGGATGAGACCAAAAGGAACAAGGGACAGCCTGAGAGGTCTGAGGACCAAGGAAGATCTGCCAAAGCATCCTGCATACCAGGAGAAGCACCCATGGAATAATGAGAGGCCGAGCAGAAAGAGGGTGATCTAAGTCAGGAGGGAGGAGAGAGGGTGATCGAAGTCGGGGAGAAAACCATGGATGGGAAGAGCAGAGACAGGTGAGTGTGGAGTGGCTCTGGGTGGGAAGGCACTGCATGCTCCGGGGTCGTGAGAGGGCCACTGTCTGCACACTCCACACAACTCCACTCTGCATGCTGAGCTCTGTGGCCAGCCTCCAGGGGCCTCCTGTCTGCCTGCAACTGAAACAACCTGAGTGCAATCATTTTTAATGACACATTGCTTTGGGTATGAGAACAGTTATTTTCTTTATTCATTTAAACTTTCTGGGTATTTAAATTACATATCATATCTAGTCAGTAAATCATCATGCATTTTTTTTTATAAAATGAATAACCCTAGTAGTTAATTTTAAAAATAAAATGAAGATTTATTCAAAAGTAATAATCAAACAATGTCTTTCTCTGATTTTTAAAAACTCTTCAATCATGTGCCAAGAACATCTTAGAATGAGTTCAAACCCATTCAACTATAGAGCGATAGACACATAGATTTTTAGAGATGACGTAATCACAGCTTCAAATGAATCTTCCTATGTTAAAAGCTGTGCTCTGCCATGGGACCCCAGGGCTGGTGAGCACAACTCCACCTTGGGCAGGTTCTTTACACCTGTGCTTGTTCCTCGTCTATAAGAGTCTGTGCTGTGCCCCAGAGTCCTCAGGATTCAGACCCAGAGCAGGAGATCTGAGGGCTTGTGGGCAACCACCAGGTGCCTAGAGGACAAGGGGACGTGATCTGAGGGTGTTGACAGCAGGACATGGCCGGGCACTTGTTCTCTGTGCAGCATCTCTTCCCTCTGGGAGCAAGGCAGGCACCTGCCACCCGGGGTTACCAGAGGAGGAGGAGGAAGAGGAGGACAGGGGAGGATGGGGAAGGGTCTGTGCCTCTGCCTGTGCTCGGCTTCCTAGTTCATCTGCACCCCGAGGCCCATGCTTAGGGCATGGGTACCGAGCCCCAGCTCTGCCACAGGCTGGCCTGGGTTTACAGTCCAGGTGCTCCTGGGCTCCTGTTTCCCAGGAGAACAGAACTTGTGTGCTCGGTGCTCGAACTGCAAGCGGTCATTACTGTTGCAGACTAACTTTTCCTGTGAATGACACAGGTGCTGAAACATGTAGGCTTTGGGAAATTAGGGAAAGACATTATGTAGCACATCTTGTTAAAGAGTATCTTTTCTCTGTATTTCTTCTTGTCTGAGTCACCCTTGATATATAGACCAATTTTCCCTTCATTAGGATAATTAATAATCTGGTTTTTTGGTTTTTTTTTTTTAACTACAATGGGGATGAAAGAAATCTTTTCCCCTCCACTTATCTTAGACTCACTGGCTGGAGCCCTGCCAGTTCGAGAAAACACAAATTTATAAAAGAAAAGCATCCTTCAGTCTATTAAAAAGATCCACACACATGGGAGCACTTAGGTGAGTAGGTCAGCGGAGGGGTCTAAACGTGGACTCAGGCAGCGTCTTTACAAAGAGTGAGTGTTCAGAGCAGAGGCAGGCAGAGGGAAAGCCCAGCTTCTGGGGGTGGTGACTGTGGGAACTGCTGGAAGGCCAGGGTCATTTCTGCATGGCTCGTCATCGGGGCTCCTCTGGGTCCCTGGGCTGACAGTCATCGCCTTGGGGACCGGTCACCCTGTCCCCGTGGAGCCAACAGCCAGGGAGATTTCCTTATAGCTCCTATTTATTTCCAGCTGCCTTCAGCTCAAAAATAATCCTATCACCAGAGGAGCATATCTGGGGGTGACGTGCTCTGTACCCTCCCTTCAGCCAGCCAAGCAAACCTGGGCAAAACACATCACTCTCTGAGCTTCAGGCTATTTGCCTTCGACTTTAATTGGTCTATAATAACTGTACAAGTCCAGGTACAATGGGATGGTTTTCTAAAGGAGAAGGCTGCTAGACCATTCCTCAGGTGTGGTCCAGCCAGTGTCCACTAACAGAAGCTGTGTAAGTGCAGACCCACAGACACCCCACCCCCCACCCCCAGAAGATGAACTATACCTGCCCTGGACTCCACCCTCAGGTGCCCGTTAAGGCCTGAGAAGTACTTCTTGGAGGAGTTCAGAGGCCCCTTCTGCCGGACGTTAGGTAGACCCATGGTGTGGATGCATCAACCCGCCCAGCCTGGGTTCTTCATGTGCTTGTTGACACAGGACATGTGCAAGGAATTCTAGTTTCCTGGAGGAAGTGTGGCACGGGGTGGTGAGGAGGGTGGTACTAGGGACGGAAACTGCTCTCTAGAGAGCTTGTGGAGTGAAGCCACCCCGATCCTGTGGTCTCTGCTCAAGAGTCTGCCCCCAAGTGCAGGCTCTGGTCACCTGCATGCCTGACAGGAACAGCTTACCAACGCATGTAAAGTGGTGTCCAGGGTGCACTAGAGAATGAGAATGACACTCAGAATGACATCCTGTTCTTAACCGGCTCCCTGCTCCCGCTTCCCCGTGAGGGTCAGGATGTCCTGGTTGTGTTAAGTGCTTTGTTCAATATGGACTTTTGCTTCTTTTTTGTGAGAAGAATGCATTGCTTTAATAAATTTAAATATGAAAAAATCCAGATCAGAATTCTTATACTTGACCTCTGAATGTTCTTTATGGGGACGGAGCTTATAACTTAGAGAATCAGTTGAGAAGCCAAGCCTACCACGCGTGATTAAGGTCAGCACTTATGCCTTCTGAACCCGTGCCTTCATTCCAGGGTCACAGAGTGCTGGTGGGCCCAGCTAGCATGGAGAAGGCCCAGACGGGTGTGATTCATGGATGTGGAGTTTCCTGGGCTGTTGGCCGACTGGAGTGATGCTTTCCTCTGTGCTTTACTATCATGTTCACCACGCCTGGCTCCAGTGTGAAGCCAGTGGTCAGCAGACACCAGCTTTCATGAGTGCTTCTCTGTGAGTCCTTCCAAGGGGTGGTCAAGGCTGTGTGGCCCTCTGCCTCCTGGTCTGCAGGTCCTCTGCCATGGATGCTGGCAATGAGACGGAGGGCAGGGGCTTTCTGCTGCTGGGCTTCCCGGGGCCCCAGGCCCTGCAGCTCTCGCTCTTCCTGCTCTTCCTGGTGATGTACATCCTCACAGTGAGCGGCAATGTGGCCATCTTGCTGCTAGTGAGCACCTCCCGCCAGCTGCACACCCCCATGTACTTCTTCCTGAGCAACCTGTCCTTCCTGGAGGTCTGGTACACCACGGCCGCAGTGCCCAAAGCCCTGGCCATCCTGCTGGGGAGGAGCCAGAGCATCTCCTTCATCAGCTGCCTCCTGCAGATGTACCTGGTCTTCTCGCTGGGCTGCACAGAGTACTTCCTCCTGGCCGCCATGGCCTACGACCGCTACCTCGCCATCTGCTACCCCCTGCACTACGGGGCCATCATGAGCGGCCTGCTCTCTGTGCAGCTGGCCCTGGGCTCCTGGGTCTGTGGCTTCCTGTCCATTGCAGTGCCCACGGCCCTCATCAGCGGCCTGTCCTTCTGTGGCCCCCGAGCCATCAACCACTTCTTCTGTGACATTGCGCCCTGGATCGCCCTGGCCTGCACCAGCACGCAGGTGGTGGAGCTGGTGGCCTTTGTGATTGCTGCCGTGGTCATTCTGAGCTCCTGCCTCATCACCCTGGTCTCCTACATCTACATCATCCGCACCATCCTGAGCATCCCCTCGGCCAGTGGCCGCAGCAAGGCCTTCTCCACCTGCTCCTCCCACCTCACCGTGGTGCTCATCTGGTACGGCTCCACCATCTTCCTCCACGTGCGCACCTCCATCAAGGACGCCTTGGACCTGACCAAAGCCGTGCACGTCCTCAACACCGTGGTGACCCCAGTTCTCAACCCCTTCATCTACACCCTCCGCAACCAGGAGGTCAGGGAGACTCTGCGGAAGAAGTGGAAGAGAAAATAGCTCTGCAGCACAAATGCGTCCTGTCACAGCCCCCGCCACCTGCCCGGGGCAACAAGTGGGAATGCGGAGGCTTGAAGGCAAGCAGCCGTTGATTCGTGGAGAGAGAGAGGAAAAGAGGGGACACAGAGACAGAAACCCTGAAGACCCAAACCAAAACACACAAAGCGGGCATGCTGGCCATACATCCATACACAATGGGAACAGCAGCTTTTAAGACTTTAAAACAGAACTTAAACCTCATACATTAAATTAGCTCTCCCCCTGGCTTTTCTTTAAAAACTTGGGGGCAAGTATACAGAGGGAAGGGGGCCTTGCCAAAGCTCAGGGCCCATCAAAGCAGGCCAGGTGACCCCTGCCACTCAGGAGGCAGGTGTTGGGAGGCAGGGCGTCCCTCCCAGGCTGCTTCCCCCTTTTCCATGCCCAGCACCGCCATTGCGGGCAGAGCTACGAGGCTCTGCTCTCTGCCTGCTCTGGATTTCTGCCAAATGCCACTGATGGCAGATGACCCCCTCACAGTGACGAACTCTGAGTGAAGGGCTGACATGGCCGACCATCTGGTGTGGGTCATGGAGGCTTGGCTGTGAGTCATAGTCCCACTGTCACATATGGTCTGGCTGTTGTCACTGTGAAGCCGGGCTGTTGTTATGGTGTGGAAGTGAGGTGTCTCCCCAAGCTCTTGCTAATGCAGGGGCAGCAGAGGGGAAATGGCTGGATGGTGGGAGCTTAACCTAAGCAGCCCATCCTAGATGGAAAGGACCAACTAGGTGGTAGCTGCTGGCAGGTGGGCGAGGCTGGAGGAGGGGTCACCCAGGCCTGGAGGGTGTATCTTCCTGGGCCCCTTCTCTCCCCTCTCTGCTTCCTTTCTGCTGGGATGAGCTGCCTCACCCGGGGCCCAGAGCAGTGGAGTCAGCCATCGACTGCTGGGACCTCTGAAACCGTGAACCCAAATAAACTTCCCTGCTCTAGGTTGTTCTTGTCTGGTGTTTTGGTCACAGCAATGGAATGCGACAAACACAGCTGCCAGGCTCAGCCTTGGCGGCAGGCATGCGGGGCTCACAGAGGTCTGAAGTCCCCAGAGGTTGGGGGAGCATGGACTGGGTTCCAGGAGACCTGCAGGTGACTGCCTGCCTGTAAGCCAAGCCCCTGAGTGTAAACATGTCACCCTTAGAGGACTGAGTACTTCCAGTCCAGCGTCATGTGGAGGCCTGGAGTCTGAGCTTATGCCACCTGCACAGAAGACAAGTTCAAGACCCAAATCACCATTAAAGCAGGATTAGGTCCCCGACACCCCACGATTACACAGACACAAGCAATAACTGATCCACAGGATTTCACAATGTGGGGCTTGTGGCCGCCCTCTTCTGCCTGGACGGCAAGAGGGCAACAGTGGGGAGGCTGCAAATGACAAAGCTGAGCCCAGAAAAACACGGACACCACAGAGGTCAGAGGCACAAAAATACGTAAAGGAATTGAAATTTTTTTCAAAAATGACAAACATATAGTTTACTTATAAATCAAGATATTTAACAGTTAAACTAAGTAAGAAATGATCAGCAAAAGGTAAATTCATAGAAAACTGAGATGACATTTTACGTTTGTTGACTGGGAAAAGAATCTTTTGGTGATGCCACGTATCAGCCTCACAGAGGGGAACCTGGTAACACCTAGTCAAGATCACAGTGCCGTCCCCACCATCTGGAGGTCAGCCTAAGCAAATACCCCCAGGAGATTTCTATGGATAAAATGTTATTGACAATATTAAAAATCAGAAAGCATTCAAATAAACCTCAGTACAAAATGGATAAATGAATTCTGAACCATGCAGAAAATACAATATCCCCAAATAGTGTGCAAGTACAACAAGTGCCGAGCGTCTTCTCTGTGGCTGGCATGCACTTAGGACATGTGAGTGAATAAGATGGAGAAAAATGTACCCTTATACTCTGCTGGGTGGAGACAGAACATAACTAAAGAATGAGAGATTATGAATGTGTTCAAAGAAGATAAGTGCCCTGGAACAGATGCATCGGTAGGACACAATTTGTGTGTGTGTGTGTGTGTGTGTGTGAGAGAGAGAGAGAGAGAGAGAGAGAGAGAGAGAGAGAGAGGGAGAGAGATTGAACCCAGGAGTACTTAACCACCAAACCACATCCCCAGCCCTTTTCATTTTTTATTTTGATACAGGGTCTTGCTAAATTGCTTAAGCCCTCACTAAACTGCTGAGGCTGGCTTCGAATTTGTGATCCTCCTGCCTCAGCCTCCCCAGCTTCTGAGATTATAGGTGTGTACCACCATGCCTAGCCCAGGAAGTGTTTTGAAGTCAGTCATTTGAATTAATTAAAAAAAAATTAGGAGACAAAACAAAAAATCCAAACAAACAAACAAAAAACACTATGATATTTAAGAGTGTATTTGAATATAGAAAACATGCAAATATGACTGAATGCAAACCGGATTCATGGAACTCTGGCTGTGCTGAGGGAGGGAAAGAGGAAGATTGGATTTGCAGAACATAAAATGTTTCATCTGCAACTTGCTTCTAATGAAAAAAATCTGAAGCAAATCATTTGAGTCAAAATGAGGAATTTATTCTGAACACAGTGGAGAAATAAAGGAGGAAGGGACGTGAGCAGCGTGAGGGGGCAGTGTGAGGGTCTTCAGAAGTGGAGGTGGCGAGCTGGGGACACACAGGAGGGTCTGTCCCACCCCTGAGAGCAGTAGGGGTCGATGGGAGGCGCCGCGAGCACCCTGGCTGGCCGGGTGGTGAGAGCTCCACTCTACAGAGTGCCCTTCCCTACAGCTTAGCTTCATGGCTTTGAACAGGGAGATCTTGGGCATCTTCCAGGTGAACTGCACAAGACTCCACCCAGGAGGGACCCGCCAGGCACCTTCTGCTCCACCCCCTCTATCTTAGGTGGCCCATTAATTTTTTGAAACACTTCTTATCTCTTTTCCGTCTCCTTATTATCCTGCTTTGTCTTAGGAGTGTGCCCTGCTTGGCCTCCGTGCCTGACTTTCCCACTTAGTGGTATTTCCTGCCAGCACCACCGGGGCACCCACCTCCTGGCCTCCTTCACATCTGCACAGCGTTTCCCTGGTGCACATACCACGACTTTATTCAGTCTCTTCTGCTGGATACTGTGGTAGTTCCCACCACCTACCATTGCAGTGGTGCTGTGATGGATCAGTTTGCCCAGCTGTGGGTTTCTGCATCCTCAGGTTAGAAATGCACACCAGGTGGAGGCACTAGGAGCTTAGTTGCCATGTGCCATGTTTCCCAGTGGGCTGTGGGCTGGGGGTCTGAGGGGCCCTGCTGCCCAGGCTCACCACAGTGCGGCAGGATTGCAGCATCCACAGCTTTGCAAGGAGGAAGGCACAGGAGGTCCTTTCAGTCTTCCTCTGTGTTACTAGTGTGGAGCTCACCGTGAGAGATGCACCCCAGAAGTGTGGGTATTTCTCTCCATGTGAGCTGCTGAGGGGTTTTGCCTTTTTTCCTAGGCTTTTTGCTATTTCTTTAGTCATTTTTTACTATTTTTATAATTATGGACATTAACTCCTTATGATATTCATTAAAATTTTTTTTTCAGTTAATTTGGACCTTTTGAATGTATTCATTGTATTTTCCCCCACACATTTGAAACACATTCTCCTTGGTCAAATTTACCAATTCAGTAGAATAGAAACTGTTGGGAGTCACCCCGGCTCCAAAGACTAACTTCCCCATCCCCCAAGAAGAGCCGTCCAATGGTGAGCCCTGCTGGCTCACGTGATCCTGCCATCCAATGGTGAGCCCTGCTGGCTCACATGATCGTTACCCACCAATTAGAACACACCCGAAGCCAGCTGCCATAAAACCATTAAATTGTTAAGCTGTTTCAACTGTCAAACCACCCCCGGCTCTATAAATATGCAGAGCTGCCTCAATAAATGGCATTTTTTCTCCCAGGGCAAGCCTTGATTGTTCTTTCAGAAACAGTGAGGAAGTTCACCTGGGATGTGGCCCTCCACTCATGACTCGCTACAGATTTGGAGAGTCTATTAGAAGGCCAGTCCCTCCTCCTGGGTGATAGACAACATTTCCCACTTTTCCATCTAGAGTAGTTATTGGTAGCATTTCAACTCTTACATTGTAATCTCAGAATCATTTTTTCCATTGGCTGGCACAAGGAATGGATGTTGTGTTATTTTTGCCAAATGGCTGTAGAATTATTTTAACTCCATATACTTAAAAGACTGCATTTTCCTCAGTGAATTTATCATCTGTTAGATCCCTTCCTTTCTTCTTTTCTTTTTTTTTTCCAGATGGGTAGATACCATCACAGTTGTACTAAATGGCACGACAGTCCATTGGTGTCCAGAGAAAAGTAATGAGAACAGGAAAAAATCTTTATTAACTTTTACAATAAGTTGCGGGGGGGGGGGGGGGCTCTCCCACTGAGCAGCACCCAGCCAGGCCTCATTCAATGGCTTTATTTATCACTTTGGTTATTTCCACACTAATCAGATATGACTTTGCTTCAGTAAAGGCTCTGATTTCCTAGAAGCTGTGTGAGGCACAAGTCCTTCACATGACCACTGTCCCCATCAAAAGACAGAGGAGTCAAGGCTGACTTTAGGGCCAGGCACACCAACAACATGAAGATCATGAAGCTTCCAGTGAGATGTTGGGACGTGCTGTCACAGATGCCCGTAACTTCCACTTGTCCCCCTGCATATCTCACGGGAGTTGGCAGAAGTCATGCCCGTGAGGTTAGAAAACAAACGTTGCAAAACCATCTCTGCACATTACTCACACAGGGAAGAATCTTGAGAGAAAGGATGCTGAGCAACACTTTGCAAATTGATAGGGTGTGAAACTAAACTTCAGAGAACCTGTGCAGTAACTCGGTTTGCTAGCTGATGAAACTGCATGCCTTGTGGGTAAGGTTGATGATCCAGACCCTGCTGTGTGTGCTGGAGCTGCATCATGAAGTCAGTGGGGGAAGGAAGACGGCAGCTGG